TATAAAAATACATTTTGATCAAATCACGTACCGTAAGAAACTGTGAGAGTGGCGCACGCGTGTAAAAGTTACCGTGAATCACTTTGCGGAAAGCGGGAGAGAGAGAGAGAGCAAGAGCGATCGTATACGGTACCATGAAACGCTCTATGTTGTTTACATTCAAACAAAATACGTTCTCCACTTTAGGTCAATGGATTTTACGAATAAATGTGCAAGAAACGTATGCAAATTGAATTGGTTTGAGGTGAACGATTTAATTTTTCCAATGCAAACGAATAGGTAACTGCTTTTTTCCCTGATGGTAATGGTTTTCTTTACAAATTGCAATTTTTTTGTTCGATGGTTTGTCAATACGACGCATCTAAATTGGTTGCATATGATTTCGCGCGCGTCAAAATGAAACGAGCGAACGAACGCATACAAAATCGAAAACACATTCAAAGATCGACACGCTATAAATAACGTGAATACATTCTCATTTTTAGCGTTCGAAGTAAATTTATTGCCCGTACCTGTGCGTCGTCGTAACGACGATTTCGTTGTCGATTGTGTCAATGCTGATCGGATTAGAACTGAATATATACACTGAAATGTGGTTTGTATCGACGTTTTTTTTACCGCATGTAATTCACTTTAGAATTTGCATTGTAAATAGTGTATATTGTATCACGGTCAACGGTTTATACATACCTACACATATTCATGTCATTTAGTTTCATCGTTGTAATTCTAGGCCTGTGACATTTTCAGTGCAATATTCAATTTGTCATAAGTGAAACTGTCATGAAATTTGAGCGGGAAAGAGCGAAACAAAAAATTGAAATTCATCATTTTTGTTGGTTGTTGTTATTACATGAGTTCCAGTCATTTGATATGCAAACGGTTGAGAGAACGCCTTTTCATCGAATTGATTAGTTTGTTATTTTATGGCTATTGTACTGGCACTGGTACTACTTCAATGCAAATCGCATAATCTCGATGTGATCAACAGAATAATACAATCAATTTCATTATCACCGTTTACGTAATTCGGTTTTGTTTTGAAATAAAATGAATTGTTTGCATTCATTAATATTGAAACAATGAATCAATCTGTTCAATTGTTTTGGTACACCGATCAGTTCGTCAACACAATTTCCGTAATTACACTTGATCACGGAATATTTTGCGCGGGAAATCAAGAAAGACAGATAGCCATAGATTCAACGAAGTCGATTCAATTTGTTTTATCAATAAATATAATTTTGCGTGAGTCTGATTTGAGAGCAATAAAAAAAAACGAACTTTTTGCACGAAGTGTAGTTTGATGATCATTCCGCAGTGTTCGGTTCGCATTGAAATATCGAGTTGTTCTAGTTTCAACGCAAATTCACAAACATTTTTACACATTTATAGCACACACACATACACACATACATATATACATCGACGCGAGACAACGAATTCCATTTCAATCTTATTTTACTAGTTATCAACATCTGTTTTTATCCATGCGATCCGTTTTGTTTTGGTTTTGTGATGCTGAATGTTATGGTTTCGTATGTGCCTGTACGTATTGAGCACGCGTCTTGAAACAAAGCATGAAGCAAAATGAAACGGAAAATTCCCAATTTTCGTAGCATTTTTAAAAATATTTACAAATAAATGATACATTTCGCTTTAGATATTTGTTGTTTACTATCAATAGTCGTCTAATGCTCTTTTTATCAATTGAAAATATATTTAATTTTTTAATAACTTAAATCAAAGTCTAATTCAAACCACACGATCATTACACATGATGTGATAAAAAAAATGATATCCAAAAACAATAACAATTGACCTTGTGTCGTACCGCGTTTACTCGAAGAAAATAAAAAGAGAACAGAACGGATTCCAATAATCGTTGTTGTTTTTATAAAGAACATGAAAAAAGTGTTTTTTTTTTTAAATGATTGACTGCTTCTTTTTTTGTCTGAGTGACTGACTCAAAATGATTGTTCAAAGTCCTTGTTTAGAACGAAGTTTTTGTTTCTTCTTTTTCAATTGATTCAGGTTTTATAGTTTTTTTTCTTCTTTCAGAGAAAAACAAATAACCAGTTGAATTTTACGACGTTTCAGTTCCAAAAAATGAACACGAACACTATCCGTTGCACGTTTTAGCTGCATTATGTTTCATTTCTTATTATTTTCGTACGTGCAGTGGTCAATATTTCTTTAAAAGACCCATTGAACTCTGTGACTTTTAATTCTCTAGAGTATCGACTACATTATAAAACACACTTTCCATTCATTGAGATGGCATTGTATCTAAATTAACGTATTCAATGTTCAATTTCTTTCAAATTTTATCGATTTTTCCGCAATATCGAAAATATATTGAAAATATCTCACATCAAATCATGACGATCATTTGGTAAAAAAGAAACAAACTTTTAAAACAAAAGCACTTTGATTCTGACGAGAATTCTATTTTGTGACACGGTGAAATATTAATGAATTGAATTTCGAATTTCTCTTTCACCACGATCGAACTTATTTTCTTTTTATCTCTTGCCGTGTGTATTCACTTCACTATTTTCAAACAAACAAAAATTAAATAAACACCCGGAAAAGTTGTATACCGTTTTTATTCTGAAAGAATCATTTGGCGATGCGATCACCGTATTTATATAGACAACGAAAATCGAGCAACGAACAAAAGAGAAATCGTCATGCACATACAGAGAAAAACACAAAACGGCAATGTGTCTCTGGTTAAAGTTTCATTGTTTTCATTTTGTCTCTTTCTTTCGATTACATTGCCATTATACGAATATTCGGCTTCACTTGATCGCGGTATCGACCGCGAAATTGTTGTTTTATATTCGCGTTCATGCGGCATCCTAAACGAATTTAGCTGAGCCGCATTCATTGTACGTATATAAAAAAATGACGATCAAATGACGTACGCATCGCAGGCGAATCGTCATTTTCGCACACACACAACTTGTTTTTGCATACGTTTTGCCGACTCATGTACATTGTACACTTGGAAAGTGAAATGAAAATGAGTGATTCCTTTTTTGCATTTATTTTAGCAAAATGAAACCGCGTTATTTTACGCCTTTCGTTCGGTTGAGTCACAAACCGTTCACCCAGCTCAAGTTTGCTTTTGTTTATTAATTTTCGAAACAATCAGTGAAACGTATAAATCAGAATATTATGATTTCAGTTGATGGTTTTATCTAATTAACAGCAAAACAAAACGATTTTTTAAAATTGAAAATGATAGAAAATGGAGCGAGGTCATGAAGATAATTAGTTATATTGCAATAAAAACTATAACACAACCCGTAAATTTACAGATGATAGTCCTTTTTATCCGTATATAATCTCTATTAACGTGCTAAGAATGACATTCACATTAGATATATAGTAACGCTTCAACGATTTACGGTACGATTAATGGTAAAAAATCATTTTGTTGCGTTGGTTTATCCAGGTGAATGCCAATCAAAATGGTGTACACGCAAATGAAAAAAAAGAAACCGACAAAGAATCGGAGCCAATGTGTGACGTATTTTTCCTGGAAATTTGCGGTACAAAATCCGTTTTATTTTTGTTGGAAAAAATGCGCATTCTCTTTTCGAATCGATGAATCATGGTTAATCAAACGAACGAGAAAGAGAAATAGGAAGAAAATGTCGCGAAAGAGAGAGAGTGAGAGAAAGAGAAAAAGAGAATCGGGAAATGTCGAATGAAATAAGGATGAGTAAACATGTGAATAATTACATGATAATCATGCAAAGAAATGCGACCATTGAACAAAAGACTAATTCGTCCGACAACTTGTGCCATGAGACACAATTATGCTTCTCAAAACGAATTTCCGCCTTTTTCCGTTTCCATCCACTATTGTTGTGGTTGTTGCCGTCACCGCTTTATACTTTATATTCTTCAAACTATCTGAAGTCCTGAACTCTTTCTTTCTTCTTTTCATTGTGTCTCCGATTTTCTGCCATTTTCAACACGACTGAGTGGCATGGTAAAAGGAAGTACTGGCTATCATTCGTATTATAAATGAGTGTTGGTGAGAGTTTATTTTGTTTTTGTCGTTTTACTTCAATATTCCAGTCTGCAAATATTTCTACTTTAAAACTTGGCACACAAAAACGAGGCAAAATAAAAATGAGGCTTTGGTTATATGGGGAGGAGGGGGCTAACGGAAGTGCAGCGTACGTTAATCGGTGTCACTATGTTTATGCTCTTGTCCTACATTTGTTTAAATTTACTTTGAGCGTACGAACAGTTTCATCGACCAGGCTCATTTTTTGCACTTTATATTTTTGGTTTGTTTTTTTTTCATCAAATTATTTTTCATCCCTGTATGTATTATATACATATCGATTTGCTGCACCCAAATCCAGTCGGTCTAAGTCGAGTGTGGAAACCTCGCACCAATGAATGGAAAATGTGTGAAATGAAAGCTATATAGAGCCGACGACCGTGCATGTATCGGTGTATTAGAGCCAAAATTAGAAATGTTAAAAGGTGAAACTAGCATTGATGGTTTTATTTAACAAAACTATACAGAACAATATGTTTCTTGATTTCATAGAACGGAAAACAGCATGCAAACAATATGCATATGCATGTTGAATTATGTTTGGGTGTTTTTCTTATGTATTTGTATAATAAAAAAATGGTGTTAGACTGTCACATAAAATCAACTTGTAATTCAAAAGTCTTGTATGTGGGGCCATTTTTTGTCAAACTATTCTCTGCGGGGAAAAAAAACGTCCGTAACTTTTAAGATTTTAACTGCAAAAACTTTTCCTCTTGAAATGTTCAAACAATAAAGAATTCAAACGATTGAATTTTGTTCACTGTTTTTCTTTTGTGGAAAAGTTGAAATTAAATTGATTCTTAATTAATTTGTTGAGCTTGTCTCCAATTTTTTTTGTTTGACTACAAATTGAACATTGCTTTTGGCTTCTTAAAATAGATGTTCCATAGATTTAAAATGTAAATCATCTTACCCGATATCTCGCATGTTGCATTTTAATAACGTCGTCATCGTCATCAGAATCAGTTCCGGCGACATCATCTCCGTCATCTTCGTGACTTGGCGTTGCTCCCATATTGAATATTTGTTTGTATGGTTGGTACTTGTGATGTGACTGGATTCACACAATAATATGCAGTTTAAACAAAACAAAGGTCGAGTTTGTCGTGTAGTTGCTGTTTGCTGCTTTTGTTTGTGTGTTATTTGGTTGACTGGCAAAAGGACGTATTTATTACTCGAGAGCGCGCGTGTGATTTCAAAATGTATCACCACCAGCACCCCGAAAAAAGCATTTAGACATCCATTTTTAAGAAATTGAGCAATTTTCTTCCGGTTCTTTGAATATTTCCGCTTGAATAATCCATTCAACGTCTTTTTAACACAATTTTTGTTTTTGACATAAAATAAAAATAAATAAACTATGTACACTTAATGCGATACTAATACACACACACACAGAGAGAGAGAGACACTCGAATAATATTTCAGTTTCACTGGATAATTGAATTTTAATCGCGTGTGCTCCAATTAAATTGGCCCAAATAAAGTGGTGTGCGCACTTAAATCTCAGTCTTTTTCATTGTATAATTTAAACACACCCCATGACTCTTTAGCACTCTATAGTTTTTGTTCTCTTGTTTATATTTATATTGTTCATTTGGCGCCACAATTACAATCTATTAGCAATGTCTGCAAAGGCGAAAAAAAGAGAGAAAAGTGAGATGGTTAAGGGAAGAAAATCAAGTCACATGTTTGCAAAACCGTTGTTTCTTTCAATACGCGCTCTATCTCGTCACGTTTTGCTGATAAGTCATTTATAGCAAAAATGAAAGATTCGATCACAGAAAATTTTGACTGGGATGACTGAAAGACAGTCAAACCGACAGAATAGAGATACACCGAAAGAACAAAAGCACACACAACAAACAATATGACGAGAGAAATGCTCGTTTCTCGTTCATATTCACATTGAAATCGAATTCCGATAGCACACAAACTGTCACACTGTGGACAATCCAGTGAGCATCTTTGTTGCTCGATGACGAACAAACACGAATATTATATACACGCGCCACCATTTTTTTGTGTGTGTTTTCTTGGTTCGGTTTCTCCCCGACCCTCTCATTGGAAACATCATATTCACAACATTTCCTCGTGTCATGTATACCATGTGTTACACTCATCATTACGTAGTATTTGTCAATGTGATGCCGTGCATGTGTATGTAACCAAAGAACAAAAAAAAAATTCCAATAAGCAAACGTTCAAAAGGGCAAAACATACTATGTGAAAAGCTTGCAACATTTTCCTTTCTCCTTTTTTTGTTCATTTTTCAAACATGTGTGTTATAATCACGTTACTCTCGGTAATTGGAAAACTTTCTCACAAAGAAGCGAAATACTCACCGTTCTCGAACACTCACACAATGGACACAACTCAATTTTCGAGCAAATAATTAAAAAGCGAACGGAAAACCAACAAATTCTAAATAATTCTGGGAGTTCTAAAATTTTCAATTAATTCGGCTATCGCCTGAAAGTATGCAATTCATTACATTCAACTAACTCAATCCCGTTTTATTTGTTGTTTTGATACAGTTTAATGGGCATTAAAGAAATAAATCATATAGACACTTTTCTTCAAATTAGAATAAACTTTCTTTTGGCAGAAAATAGTTCCACAAAAAAGTTTCTTAAATTGTTGAACACAAAAATGGACTATTTGCCCAATTCCAATAGCATAAACACATACACACCATAAATATTTAAGCAGTGCACATAACAAAGAATGTTCTTTGTTTAGAATGATCGGTTCTTTTTCTATATTCACTTAACGACACGATGGATTATCTTTTTGTTTCAGTTCGGTTGGGTTGGTTATTCACAAAAACACAATTCGGAAAATTTACCGTGGAAATTTTAGGGTGAAATTGTTGCAAATACGAACTATCAACACTTACTCCGGACTACTGTGTTATAAATCAAATTTGAAATTTTATTTCAATATTTCGTGATTGACACGACTACTAAACTAACTAAATTGAAATAAATATATCCTATATCTATCGTTTTGTGTGATGATTATTTTATTTCTCACGATGGTAAATGCATTAAATATCGCCAAACTCAGTTATGTTTCATGCACGCATACGCATACTAAACAACATCGAGAGGATTGAGAGAGCGAGAGCATGAAAATGAAGCTAGTGAGTGACAGAATGAGAGTACGACCATATAGTAAAGGGATAGAATGAGAAAATCACAAATACATTCACAGAATGGCGTGCTTGACGATTGAATTTCATTCAAAAAAACTCCTCGGCAAACATTTTTCTCCAATTTACTTGACTTGCATACAACAACACATTTCTTTTTTCTCCGCTTTCTTACTCGCCTTATTCAAATAAACAAAACAAATACATTCGTGTCCGTACACACGTACTTATAAGTCGCCTTTTTGGAATGTCAGTTGTTGTAGTGCACACACGCACACAACACATTATCATATGAACACTCTATTCTTCTTTTCAACACACAAACTGTTTTACCTTCTTTTTTTACAACAAAAATTGTAATTTCTGATTTTATCACTGAACTTTAAAGATTTTATTACAGAAATAAAACAGCATCTACTTTGAATGTTATATGTTCAATCGAATTAATGCGCGCATTTTACACTTTACATTTTAATTTATGATTGCAGTACCGGCAATAAACAAACTATTTTTCGAATATGTATATGAACGAAACGAACAAAATCGGATTCAAAAAACAAGGATAAAATTGATTCGTTTTTCGTGACAGAGAAAATGAACGAAACAAACAAACACCTTTGATTTTGGCTATGGAACGAAACTGGAATGCACTGAATTGGTCGTCAAAAATCGTAAATTCAACTAACTGACAGTGTGTGAGCGCAAAAAACGGCATTTAATTTAAGGCCTTGCCGTTTTTATTGAATGAAATACGAATGTAGATGATAAAAATAATAAGAAATCAACAAATAAACTCGTTGAATGAACTATTTCACAGTTGATTTGCGACCGTTTGATCGAAATTAAATCGAACTAAGCGCTCGTGTATGAAAACAACGACGACAACGATTCCGAATTTCAGCTGTTGCTTCTGTAGTGGTGGTTTTCCCTTGCACACGATGCCACTAATTTACCAGGAGAAAGAGAATAAGAGAGCACAGATACATAGACAGATTTATAAACGTGTTCACACAAACATATACATGTCGATTACATCATCCATTCTTGTAAGCGTTTCCATGCATTATTTTATTTTTTTTGGTTTAATGAACGGCTACATAAAGAGAGTTATGCTGCGTTGAGAGAGCGCACAATGAAGTGCCTATGTATGTGATAGAACATTTCGTACCATAGCATTGAACCACCATTTGACAGCTAACGCTCTCTTGCTCATAATCAAAACAATAAGCAAGGAACTATTTTATGCTGATCTCAAAAATGTCAATACATCTGTACTTTATTTTAATTGAATTTATTTATATCATGTTTGCGAACAATGTAAATTAATAAAGCTTTCGTTTAGGATTCTGACTGTTGAAAATTATAAACTAACGGTAGTTATCAATCACTAAGATATTACATACAATCGTTAGCTCTGGTTAATCAACGGTTGTATGTACATTTATCGGTACCGGTATATTGTGAACTTCCAGTTTCTCTTTTTTTCATCTTCTTATAAATTTAGATTATTTTCAAGAAAGATGTAGTTTTATTTTAATTATTTTTTGCTTCGCGCATCTTTTGAAGCAGAGTTTGCGGATCTAAAATAACAAATAATTAAGAATTAAAAAAAAAGAGAATTGATTAGGACAGAGAGTGTTTTCGAACATTCTATCTTCACTCAGTTCAATCAAATTTTTTGACTCGAGTCATGAAAAATTAACACTTTGGGTCGGTAGTTGATTCCTTGTTTGAATATGGCATACATACAAACAATTTTAAAGCTTCTGAACTATAAAACTATATTGCTACATCATCGGTTGTTTTTATTTATTGTTTTAATTAGACATCGAGTCGAGCCAGGATGCAAAATTTCAAGTCAAAACCAATGAAAACATGCAATAAACGAAAACCTATAAAACAATCGTAAATAAATCGAAATGTTCAACTATTAATTTATTATTTAAAAGTAAAATTTATTCGCTTGTATTTTTTCATTCTTTTATTGAATTTACAACAACGATAAAATGAACTATGAATACACTGACTATACTGTCGCCATTTATTTTGTAAAATTAATGGTATCTTGACGATTCAGATTGTATAAAAGTCGCTCCTGAATATGTTCAACGGCCTTTGTTGTTAGAATTAATGTATCGTGTTTCAGCATGGAATAAACATTGAGACCATAGGCAGGCATAATGTTGATGTAACCAATTGAATCGGTGGCAACGGCAATATTTCGTGGTACCGTATCTTCCAAATTGATAAACAATGCTGATGGTCCCCATTTACGTTCGGCCAATAAATTTTTAATGTATTCCGGATCTTCTGTTGGTATTTCCATGTCGTCAACGATATGTAAATCGTCTTGAGCCAATTTCGCCGACAAAGTTGATGTTAGGCCAGCAATTCTTACGGGAAATGGTAACATATAATAGTATGAAGTTGGACTTCGTGGACCGTGTGCAACACCACCATTTCGAAATATTGGCGACCGAATCGAACCGTGACGTGCTCTACCTTGTCCTTTTTGTGGCCATGGTTTTCGGCCGCCACCTTTTTTCTCTGCTCGTGATTTAGCCCAAGCGAAACTGACACGCTTATACTTTTGCTGCCAGATTACATTACGATGTATGATATCAATACGAGGCTCAGCCGCAAATATATCGGGATGCAATTCCATAATACCTTTTCGCTGTACATTTGTTGTGTCCATATTTTCAATCCATACTTGACGCACCACTTGATTTGTTCTATCCAAAAATTTATTCATAACCGGGAAAATGGTCGCGGGTTTTGTACAATAGTTTCGCGTAGCCACATTTTGCAGCACCGACGATATTAACGTTTTAAACATTTTGGTTTTAACAAAGGCGATATGCTTCACAAATTTATTTCAAATGAATTTGATTTATTTACGCGTGACGCGTGCTAGTTTTCATACTTTTTTCTCTCGTGCGAAAAGTTTTTATTGTGGAAAAATGAAATTTTTTCCCTTCTGTTTTGGTCTATTCAATGGAACAAAACTAAACAAAAAAGTACATAACCTCAACACAGATCTATTTGACAGTTCGTATTTTATTCACTCACACATACACATGCCAATTCACATGTGCTGGAAATGTCATACAATTCAATGTCATCATTTTTCGACTCATTTGAATTGACGGTTATGTTACACTGATTCAAACCGATTTTAGCTCATTTCACATTGTTGGAAATAAAACTCATCAACTTTTATTTGTTTTTTTTTCCTTTTATTCTTGTATTTAATCTTTTTTTCTTTCTTTGAAACTAAATTACAAATTTTCAAGATCATACTATTAAAATTGAGATGTTTAATTTCGACGAATAAATTTGGTTTGTTTGTCAATTCATTCAAATTTATTTTTGAAATACATAAATTCCAAATCTTACTCATTTTTTCTGTCTTGATGCACACAATATATGATCGATAGCAATTTTTTTTGTATCTTTCAATATTAACTACATTCTAATCTTAATTTAAACATCTACAACAGGGAAAATTCATTTGTGTGGGGTGTGTGTATGTGTGTATGTGAAATTTGTTCAGTTTTATTTTAGTCATTTTTTTACACGTGATTTAAATTTTAAAAACATTTATTTTTATTTGTACTCAAAGAGTAGCAATTGGTGCAATGTATTTTACGTTTACAGTTATTGAAGGCACAAACATCGGGTGGAGCTCCGTTTCATTGTTCAGTATTCGATGGATTTTTGGTACAAAATAATATTGCGGGACTTTTTATTGATTTTACTTTTTGTTGTTCCGTTGTGTTTGAATTAATTCATTCTTGTAAATGGCAAATTTCTTTTTAAACCGATGGCAAAATTTTCACAGAGAAATAATAATAAATATAATTTCAAATCCAAAATATATACGTAGATCGTAAATTACATCTATCAATGAGCAATTTAAATGTTCCAATTGGAGAGAGATTTTCTTTGTGATGATTGTTTATACCAATGAGTACATGTGACTTAACATTGGTAAAAAATATTTTTTTTTTTTTAAAGAGTATGACGAATGCAAACAATAGGTCCCAAGCTAAAAACTCAAAAGAAATCTAACTAATGGTTGTGAAAAAAATCCAAAGAAAATAAAGCAAAATTAAGACCAATTACTCATTCGATGATTGATTGCAATGTGGTTTCAATAAAAAATTAATTATTTTGAAAATTGAGCAAAAATAGGTGTTTTATTGAGCATAAATTTCTGTAATTAAATTGCATTTATCCAGAAGCTTATTTTAATTTAAAAGGTGCTCATCATTATGAATCGTTCAGGTAATTTTCCTCGTTTAATGCATTAAAAACTGTTTGAATGTGCTGAGCTCAAGAATGTTGTTGTAAAATACATTACCCTGTGCTCAGTATTTTAATCTGAAAATAAATTCCTTTGATAATTTCTTTCCTCGTTGTTTTCTTTTTCAATACATAAAAAATGTCCAAATTTTGTTGTTTTTTTTTCTCTTTTGCTTCGTTTTTTTTTTTTTGTCAAATTTGCTTGAATTTATTTATTTTTCGTTTCTCTTAAAAAGAATGGTTTTTTGTCGATAAAAAAATATAACATAATCATATAAAAGGAAAAAAATTATTCGAAAAAAAAAATTATATTAGTCAAATAAAACGTTAAATCTTGCTAAAAACTAAAATTACAATCTAAAATTTAAAACGAAAGTAAATTAAATTAAATTTTGTAAAAAAAATGCTTGCTGTTCCAAGTCAGTCTCAATATACGATAAAATGGTATGCGTTACGTCGCTGTTCTCGGTCGCCATTAAAAATTGTTCGATTGTAGTATACTCGACGATGATTTAAAATCAATCAATGAAATGTAAAGAAAATTTAAAAAAAATCGAGGAAAATTACTTGATAGCACTCTCGATGCATTTAGTTAAAATATGATGAGCAAATTTTAATATCTCTATTCATATAAATCGAATCAAGTGAGCATGATTGACATGAAAATGAGTTTTTGTATAAAACATTCATGTGGCATCAGTGGCCAAAATATACATGATCTCATTTTCACATTCAAAAATTACAATTAATTTGTGTAAAATATAAATGTATACGATAAATGTTCAGTATAGAGAATGTCAGGTGTTATTACGATTATCTTATTTAAACTCAGTCTTATTGTAGTGAAATTAAAAGGGAACAAAAATTATCTTCAAATTTAATCGAAAATAATAATTGAATAAAAAAAAATAATTTGAAAATGTGTTGTGTATTCATATCGTGTGTAAACATATTGTGGTTTATGTGCCATCTAGGCGAAATGGAAACATCTAAAGTGTTTGTGTGTGTGAGAGAGCCAAATGATGGGTGCATGACATCTCAACGATTTACAACATCCAATGCTTAAAAGTTCTTTGCACATTTTGAATCAAATTTGTTTGGTTTCTAATATTTGTTTGTGGTATAGAATTCTTTAAATACTAAATATTTTCTTCTTTAATTCATTTTTAGATAAAAATTTGTCCACTTTGACTAATTTCCTAAATTAAAATCGGATTGAGCTTGGTTTTCGAAATGTCGCCGATGACTATCTCAACCATCAAGATCATAAAACTAGCATATATCGTTTAGCATCTTTTTTATGAGTGTTTCTGTGTTTGTGTTTGTGTGTGTGTGTGTGTGTGTTTCTTTTTAAAAACATTCATAATATAATTACAACTGTTTCTTATAGGCACTCGGTGGTTTGAGAATACGCATTTCATAACTGTTTGCTTGATTCTTCTTCTCTTTTTTTTTGTTCAGTCAGTCAGACATTTCCTTTTTGTTTTTTTTCTTTCTCAAATGAAGATCATTTAATTGATAAAATATAATGGCCAGGTGTTTTAGTTCAATAAATCCCTATCGCTCAAATTATAATGCTCTCTCTATCTCTTTTTCTTATCATAGTAATTAAAAGGCACATCAAATGCAATATATATATATTATTATTATTATTTTTTCCATTTTAAAATTATCATGTTATTTAGATGGCATTGGAAACCATTTAGTGCAAAAGAGGACGTCGATCAATGAAGTTGTTTTAATTTTTCTCAAATGCGTGTGTAAATGAAAATAGAATCGGTGCGCGCACATTTTATTTTGTGATTGTATTCATTTGGTGGTTTCATTTTTAAAAAAACATTCATGTTTAATACTTTCGATTGTTTTTGTCTGTCTTTCTTTCTTTCTTTTGTAGTTGAAAGATAGTAATTGGTTGAGTGTTTTATATTACTCTTTCTATTCTTTGAATTTCTTTCACTTCAAATGAATCTTACATTGCTAATTCTTATTGCTTGCTAATAAAAACACATATTAATTGTCTATTCCGGGGGGAGGGACAAAAAAAAACATAAGAAAACAATCACAATCGATAATCACGCATATAGTGCTATTGTTTATCTCTCTTTCTCTGTGTCTAAACTCGATTGATTTATTCTTCAACACTAAAGCGTAAAACAATATAATAAATCATACCCGTTTTGTCAATTGTTGCTGTGATGGTAATTATTTGTTTTTCACGCTTATTTCAAAGCTAAAATTGTTTACACATTTTGTAATTTAATAAAAAATATTCCTCGTATGCATTGTTGGACGCGTTCGCATCGCTTAAAAAACAAATTAAGATTGACTTAAAAAAAAGACGAACATAAAAAGAATTAGCTAAGTCAGTACTATAACTAAATCGGTAATATTTTGTTTTGCAAGTTTTAAACATAAAATCCAAACGAAAAACTATTCAAAAGAAAAAAAATAATTCAGATTGAAATTGATCGCATAGAATTTCGAATTTTTTTTTATCGAATGTCGGAACATTTCCCAAAACTACTTTTTCCCGAACAAACGTTTTCCCGGAATATTTGGGAAAATTTCTGCAAGGAGAAAAGTTTTGGGAAAAGTGTATTCGGGAAATGCATTCCGACATTTTCGTGTGTTGTTTATGGATTTCATATAGTGTTCGAATTTGCCATGCAGATCACACAAACACTGCTCCTCTCTTAACATTTCTTCTCTATATAATTATTTCTATATAAATTTTTTGCTTGCAAATTTTTTTTTCTCTATTTTTTAGTTTGTTTCTTTGTTTCATTCTCTCTATATGTTAAAAACCATTTGAGATTTGCTCCCGTTACGAGAAAACCTGAGTTGAAGTCATTGTTGTCGTTATTATTATATTTTATGATATATTTTTTTCTTGTTTTACTTTGATGAGGATCAAACAGTATTGAATGAAGAAGAAAAAAAAAAGAAATAATTAAATTATTACTTCGAATAAAAGAAATTACATTGTTCTTTAGAACTATTTTGTCCAACAAAAACTATTTAAAAAAAAATACGAACAAAAAATGAGTTTTTAAAGTTTCTAAAAAAAGAAGAGAACTCCGGTGTATATTGCACTATCGTATAGAATTTTCTTTTTTAATAGCTATAGTATTTTTGTGATTTAGTTTTTTTCTCGTATTTTTTTTTGTTTCTTCTTCCACTTAATTAATAACATTTAACCTAATAGTCTATAACAACAACAGTTACATTAATATATTTGTATGTGTGTTTGTGTGTTTCATTCGTCTTGGTATTCAATCCTAATTCGAATAATAATTCATCTTTATCTTTTTTCTATTTTTTTAGTATATAATATTGAGCCTCTGTTTTTCTCTGTCTGGATTTCTATGAAAATTGTTCCCATTGTTTTTATTTTTCATCAAAAAATATTGTATTTTTGTGTCTGGATTTAATTTCAAAATTGAACAGTTGATCAACTACAAACTAATAAATTATCCTTAAACATATATTTACTTAACAAAATAAAACATCGTCGGTCATTACAATAACCTACACTGGCGACATTGAGTTGTTGTTGGTTTCATTTGTTTGTTTTTTTTTTTTTTTTGGCTCGTCGAAAAAAATGTGAAAAAATATGAATCGTATTTTAAAAAGAAAAGTCATGTCCGTTTGCAGCCAATTTGGTGTTTTGTTTATTTTTGTGGCGGTACGATGACACCCGGTTGAGCGGCGGGTACGGCTACATCGGCATTTGGTATAGACGCAACGGATACGGGCGATGGTGGCGGACTTAATTTTTCACTTTTTCGAGACATTGACAAATCTTCCACTTGATCGTCATCGGCATCTTCTTCCATTGTTGATGGTTCCGCTTTTACAAATGAATTTCGATCACTTTCTTCTTGCATACTTTTATTTGGAATTGGTGAAAGAGAAAATATGAATTAACTTTAATTGTTTTATGGTTTGATAAAATTGAATGACAAATAAAAAATTCTAAATTGAAAAATATAAAAATTGTTCATTAAATATTTGATGTTATTTTATTGAAATTTGATTTAATGAAAATCATCTTGATTACTTACTTTGTTTCATCATCATCATCATCATCGTCATCTTCTGGCATACAATTTCGTGGTGGTGGTGAGTTTGGTGTGGCCGTTGATGCAGATCCTTCATAAATTCCAGGCGGTGGCGATTGTGACATTGGTCGTCCGATATTTTTGATTCCATTGGCAGCAGCAAGACTGGCAACACTCTTGGCAAGATCACCACCACGTTCGCTTATGGCTTTTAGCAATAAACTCGGATCGAATATACCATGCAATGAATTTGGTATTAAATTACGTTCACGATGATCGCTTTCAGGTCCATTTTCACTGTCATTCAATGTCGGTAAATGTGATTGACCATCCAAATGGTGAGCGATTGGGCTACGTGTTCCACTGATACCGTATGGGAATGCGGCCGGGCTTCCATTATTGCTTGGGCTACGTTTCATTGATGAACGATTCATTGGACGCGCACCAGCTATACCCATTTTCTTGACCTTATCGTACAATGTTCTTGATGGTACCTTGAATTGACGCGATGCTTGTAATGCACTCATTCCACCTTTGACCGCTTGAATGGCATCAGTTAAATCTTGACGTGTGTATTGCTTGTAACGTTTCCACTCTGGCTTTTGATTTCCTTGAGCTTGAGCATAATTTCCCATACGTGCATCATTTCCGCTTAGATTGTGGCCATTTTCATCATCATCGAATTTTTCAGTGTATGGTGAATGTGGTTCTCCGTATTTTGTTTTCTGTGAATTTATAACGGAGTTAAGGTAAAAACAAAAATTTGATATATATTTTTTGAAAAGTATTTTTTTTTCTTGTTTATGTATAAAAATGATCATTGATAAAAAAAATGAAGCGTTTTAAAGTTTAAAAATACGATGGTCATCCGAAGCTCTAATAAATTGTGTGTGTCTAAATACCTTGTCCGAGTAGTCAGTTCCGTTTGAGTATGTGCTGTGTCGATCACTTCGGTCACTTCTGTCACTGCGATCGCTGCGATCACTACGCTCACGTTCACGTTCACGGTCTGTGCCTGGTAATGAAGGATGTTGTGATGAATCGACTGGACTTGATTGAGCCAAGACATTTCGTAATATTGATGTATCACGAGACATACCAAGCATGCTATTGTATAGCTTTTTACGTTTCAATGGGTTCATATCAGCGCCAGATTCATAAGTGGATCCAAGAGCGGCTGCAGCAGTAACGGCATTTTGGAAACGAGAACTTGATCCAGCTAAATGCAATTAATAATCGCAAAGAAACAAGAATTTTTCGAATTCATTATCGAATCTATGCATAGAAAATTGTGGTTTCTTCCTGAACTAGATGGATGAAAAGCTTACCATGTGTTAGAGGAGCGGCTAGAGCAGAAATTGGCCATTGTGGTGGTGGGCAGTCCGATGATGATGGTCCGAACATAGAGTAGTTTGATTTGTAGTTGTATGGCGGCGAACCGGTGCTACTTTGTACGGATGATGAAATATTGGCCGATTGTGAAATGATTGGTGACGATTGTTGATTGTTTGATAATTTATTGTTGTTAATTTGTGATGCTTGCATGCTGTCCAAGTTAACCGGATATGTGGGTTCGTCGACCTTATGTTTATTAAATCTATCCTTCAAATCGGTCATATCGAATAAACCTTTAACTGCCAATTGTTCGGCAATTTGAATGAAACGCGGTATATGTGATTGTGTCACATTCACTTCACCGGTGTACATATAATCGAGCAATGCTTGCATTTCGAAACCAGATACGCCCGGAAATAGAATGGTACAATGATCCATGACCATATCTTGTAAAATTGTCTGGAAATATGTTGAGTTGGCCACTAATACGACACGATGCACGAAAAATTTCATGTCATCAACATGAAGTGTGCAATCGACGTAGCTTTTCTTTTGAAACAATCCATCAAGTATTTCAATCAAATTGGCTTTGTGGTTATTCCACCGCAAGCAATACGTTTGTCCTTCTCCGCTTCCCATTTTTGAATTTTTTTTTTGTTTGTATTGTTTTGCTTTCTCTTTCGATTTTCTTCTTTCACTTTTGTTCGATGCAATAATATCTCCGTGTTTTTCAATTGTCGTTCGGCTTAAGTTGGACCTAATCGAAAGAATTATAAATAAATAAAGAAAAATATATTAATTAAAACTCTGGTTTCGTTCAAATTTATTATTATTCAGTCCTTTTTTTTCATATCATTTCAAAAAAGCAGAAAAACCCCTAAAAAACGAAGCAGCATTGAAACACCAAATGAAAATTATCAACAACTATAACAAAAAACGATTTATCGCCCACTCAACGACCCCATTGTATAGGGCTGCATATTCATGTTACTTCTGAACTATTAAGAAAGTCTCCCGTTCAGACGATGGTGATGGTGATAGTGTGTATGTATGTTTGTGTGTGAACTCAACGCGCTCCGACTTTATTGGCCAATAAAAATTGCATGTTGTCAACAGTTCATATTATAATCTCATAAGGTGTACTATATTCTCTCTCTCTCCATTTTTCTGATTTTAAATATATCAGCGTTGAAAAATGAAGAATTTCGTAAGCATAACCGAGCGCACAGTTATGTGTTCAATGAACACTCGCTTTTTTGTTTCTCGCTGTGCCTTTTAATTAAAGCTAGAGTTAAATAAATAATGGCAAATTAAGTGGCCGCTTCATAGGGGCGGACAGATTGTAAAGAGCTCAATTTGTTGAGACAGATTTCTTTTTTTTTTCACTTTTATCCAGGATATTTTATTATTTCATACAAACATTTTTCGGTGTTTGTCTACACACGATTTTGTGCATGACCATCTCTCTCCCTTTCTTTCTATCGTTCCAGTTTTTCGTGGGTCATGAAATTTGAAGCGTGCACTCTGACGTACACGGATTCGTTAAATTGTTCGAAATTCGAGTGCGAGAGACAAGAGCATCGAAATAAGCCAAAAAACATGTGGCCTCTTTGCATCGAATTTTTGGCTTGTGCAAAAGAGACGATGTACGCCTTGAAAAAAAAAGTCAGAATAAAATACACTCCAAAAATGCATTGAAATGCGCCGCATGGAAAATGCACTTCGATGTAAGTGATCACAGTATCGAAGGATGATTTCGATTTATTTTTTAGTTTTTGAACCGTTACAAATGATGAGGAACATATGGTTTTATTTTCCAACATTTTGCCCGAAAAACGCTGTTTTCATTTCTGTTAAAACTCTCGCTTTCAGCATGCGATTTCAATGGATAATGTGTGTTCAAATTTCGGAATGTTGAATATTGGTTTCATTTTGATTACAACGATCGAATACCAACAAATATTCGAAAATATGTGTTCGCCGTTTGTGAGTGTGCATGTGATTGTGTGTATGCATGTCACATACATGGAAGGAAATTCAACGAGTTGATAATGTGCGATGACTTATTTGCGTCGCCGTTTGTGCAGAATGTTTACTTAGTTGGTCGCCAGTTTTTAAGTTGATAAAGTGAATTTTGAGAATAATTCATTAATAATTTCAATGGAAAAATTGCACTGGAAATTCAACATTGTGAGTGTGCCGAGGTGCGGGGAGGTACGGGACAAAAAAAAGCAACAATGTGGAACGATGCAAAAATCAATAGTTTTGTTATATAGTACCATCGATTCGAGACACAACGCAACAAAAGGCAATAAAAAACAATGATTGTCCTTTTCACATTGCATGGTCATTTAAAAATAAAATTTCAACAACAAAAGTGGCAAAGCGCGAGCAACGGTGAATGGACAAAAGTGTGCGATGAAAAAAAATATATATACACGAAAAAGCGGAGAAGAGCGAGAGTGGCAGAAGTGGGAGTGGGGGCGATGGACGTAGAAATGTGGCTTTGGAAAACAGGTTGGCAGAAAAATTGACATGCAAACACGAACTACCCCAATCTAAGCAAATTAATTAGGTATGCAATTTATCTATTTTAATGGTATTTAATTAATTTGCTCATCATCGATGTCAATCGACGACAATCGCCTTCGACCACATTCGATGACACGAAAAACCTAGAATATTCAGGTCTTAAATGCGTTTTCAATGTAAAGATGTGCAATACAAATTATCAAGTGTGGAAAGCAATTATATCCTTATTAAAACTTATCAAACTAATAACAAATATCGAACAATTTTCAAACTCAAAAATATGGTGTTTCATTAAATTACATTGCAATAATTGCTAATGCATACACACATATACACTGTTCATTGATGTAAAACTGAATATTTTCATTTAGATCATATTAAATTTTTGATAGAGCGCATGCAATCGTTGGCATTTGGCACACACACACATATCACACATCACACAGTGGTAAATAAACTTTATAATGGTCATCTTGCAGACAGAAGTGAACAAAAAAAGCGAAAGAAAAAGGATAAAACGAAGGAAATCGCATTAAGAAGCACAGAAACATAATAAAGAAATAAATTGGAAAAGAGCAACGCGAAAACGGAGCTAAATTCACATCACATAGCGGAAAAAAAATAACGCAGAGAGAGAAAGAGAAAACAGTAGCGACAAAGCGTTTGTGGGCGAAGAGTAATGGAAAGATTGGTCGACAGCGATACAGCGATAGAGCGCACAGAAGAAAAAAAACACAACAACAACGAAAAAGAGTTAGGAATATCCATATTTGCATGTTGAAATAAATTATTAAATTCTCTTTGTAGCAATATGCTGTCGTTGTTATTTGGTTTATTATTGTTTTCGTGTTTGGCTACTTAGTTTGCATGTGGATCGGTGTTTTTAACAGTCAAATGCTGCAACACACACTTTCATCGTTGCGATGGTGGTGGTGTATTGTGCAGTTTTTTGCGTGTTATCAACACTTTTAATTTACCTTTTTTTCAGTTGATTTTTGTCCGGTATTCATAGTTTATTCATTCGCGGCGACAATGCCAAAACGAGCGGATTAAAACACTTGCACCGTGCACATAAACATACACCGAATTACAATAAACGTATTGTTTTCGGAGGAAATCAATTAATCATCAGATCAGACGTTTCATTCCCATTCCATCGATGTGGAGACAACTTTTTTGCACACACAGATATTTAGACAAACAGAATAAAACAGTCGCATATTAAAACGGCAGAGATATTCTCGGAAATGGAAATTTCATTGTGCGATATCCGTTGCATCGACAATATCAACAATCTACATACTTGTAATTTTATTTTTCCAAGGATTTGCACCGTAAATTACATGAAATTTGCCAATAATACTTCCGAATATGTTCTTGTGTGTGTGTGAGTGCGCGCTTTTCCCTATCATCATCAACCACAACTAGAACGCTTCTGGTTCGTCGACAAAAATCCGCAATTTATAATGGCAAATGGCAATTTTTTTTTCTCTCTCTCTCTCTCTTCCTTTCTCGATTCTGTTCCGTGACTGTTCAAAATTCGAATCAAAGCAGTATGACTCAACATACAAATGAACGTCGAAAAACCAAATGCAGATTGGCATTTTCGAATGCATGAGACGAATACATGAAACAACAACAATGATATGCACAAATTATTAACCGTTGCAATTGCAAACCACAAATATACATCACATGCACGATGTACACACACACACATAAACCATACATATGCATATAAATCTCAACCGTCGCAAATAAGGATTGACGCGCATAATGAAAGCAATTTGAAAAAAAAACATTCTTTTTGTTTCGAAATGGCAAAACGACTGCAGAATATGTTTTTTTTCAATTGTTTTGTATTTGTTTTTGGTCGATACAGAGTGATAATAACAAATATATCTGAAAGTCTAGTCGATTCGAAGAAGAAATTGAAAAAAAAAAGAAAACGTTTGCCAAACCGAAATATCGAATTGTGGTCAAATATGGCCGGGGGGAATAATAATGCATTTGTGCATTTTTATCTGTGCATATTTAAAATGGGAAAAATGTAGTGACCGCGATAACAATCCAGAAATGCTATTATCACATCATTACCGATATACTCGACAATGACAGCTGAATGAATGCAATTTTTGCCAGATTTTTTGCCACTTGAATGACGGAGTCTAAATGTTTCAATTATGTACATGCACAATGAACATGTGCACACTTTGTGGTTTAACATTTCAGAACAACAATAACAGCAACAACAACAACCGAAATAGAAGTTAAAATGTGCCATTATCTTATCGGATTATCAAAACTCAAAGCATTAACTTTGTATTTTTGTCAAGCCATTTTGTTGTAATCTTCTTGAAAGAGTGATATTTTGAGTATTTAAAATAATGAAATCGCATAATCAGTTGTTGTTCCACGCTAAAATGATATTGAATCTTGGTTCAATTCGGATGTTTGAAATAAAAGTGATAAAGGAGAATCAAGTGAAAATTGTGCATTGTGTAATGATTCCACTAAATTTACAGACACAATGACAAACTTATGATATATTTTATGATGCGATTTTATTGTACCATGTTATATCATAAGCAACTATCGATCCAATTGCTTTTTATCTTTAATCAGTAGCGCATCAATGCGCCACTGGGCAATAATGTAATTCAAATGCGCTCTTCATGTAAATCAATAAAAATGTGCAATTGACGAAATGTGATTTGTTTTTCTCACTTGTTTTGTAGTTTTATCACTTGCGGCAACGGTGACGACGTCTTCAATTGTTGAATTGGCTTGGATTCAAGTTTTTTTTTCGTTTGTTCAGTCGTCTTTGTTTTTGTTCATCGAGTTTGCAACAATTTCATGATTGCTACGTATACGTTCAGCGTGTTAAAAATAATAACTTTATTTCATGTGATATATATTGGAGTTGTTATATATCTAATGTATGCTATAAATGATAAATGACGATCATTTTTTTGTCTTTCGTTTGCGTTTCAGTCGATTTTGATTTTGGCTGATGGTATCGTAAATTTTATGATTGAAAATGAATCACCTCGCATTACACGTTTTTCGCATTTATGCAGCACAAGTGTTCACACAAAAAAATTGTATATGAAATTTGATTCGAGGGGCTGCAAGTATCTCTCTCTTTCTCTCTCTCTCTCTCTGTGTGTGTTTGATTTTTGCCTAGCAAAATTAGTTCAAATTTCGTGTGTGGATTATTTATTTTTTTCATCTTCTCGGTTCTCATCTGCCTTGTTATCGTTTCTATTTTTCTTCAAAAATGTGTATCTCAACATGTGTTCTTCATTTTTGGCCATTAAAAATATCGAAATACTGTTTACCAGCTTCCGCATACCCATGAGTGAAAAATCAAACCATTTATTTAGAAATGATCATAAAAATTGGTCGATATATGTGCCGAACGAGTGTGGGATAGACAGCAATGCACAAATGACGATGCGAAATAACAGCACAAAAAAGAAACGTGGCAACACACATACACACACACACACACACATCAACAAAAAGGATCGTTGCAAATGCGTCTAGGATGTGTAAAATGAATTATTTTGCACTATCATCGAAACGATCGCTTGTCTCTTTAGATGCAGTTGCGTTGGCGTTGTTTTGTTATTTATGTGCGTCGAACAATTTTATTCGGCCGAACGAGAGAAAAAAAACGACGACGACAGATAGATAGAACATTAGATCCGATTTTTGCTACCTCCTCGGGAGGTTCGATGTTGATATGGGTTTGATGTTTGAACGCTCGCATATGTGTTTGTGTATTTTTCGTCGGGATTTTTTTTCTTCTCTCGGGAGAGATGCTGCATTTTCTGTTTTTCTCAATGTTTTGGTGCATCAAAAAAGAAGAGAGAAAGAAATAACATGAAAATGATCGATGCTATATTTTGTGGATGACGATTTTTGAACGTATTTCCGGGAGAATTGCAATTTTTGCATTTTTTTTATATTTCTATTCATTATGAAAGATTATATTTTTTGATTCTTTTTTTATTCGATCGAGAGTAAGTTTTTTTTGTTCTATTTTGCAAGCAGTCTACATAAGCGAAATAAATAAGCTTAAATTCAATGTATAATTCAATCGGTAATTTAAAATACATTTCAATACCCATGGATTTGATCGTTTGGCGGGGCATTTTCCTTCGTCTATTTCTGAATTTATCAGAGATCATGTGTTTTTTTTTTCTTTCCCAACAACATTTTCTTTTTGATATGGTTTTGTCGAAAACAATGAACAACAGTGACAACAGTGAATATTCAAGTCCAAACAACAAACTGATATCTGAAAATCAATTGTTGTCATAATGAAAATACTGGATAGGGTGGATGTTGTAAAAAGCAATAAAATTAGCGTCGCGCAAATTTTTTATTTGAATGGTATACATGGATTACTTAGTAGCACACACATAGAAATATTGATTGCAAACCCACCAATTCCAACGTTGTTGAGTGAAGGCGTTAAAGTGCCGCAATTATGAAGTTGGTCGTTGTATTTGTGTGTGGATGGGCTTTTGTTGTCCTCAATATCTAACAACATGAATATCAACCTCATTACATTATCATTGCATAAAATCAGCAGTTTCAATAGACACTGACCGCGCGCGCAAAAAAAATAAATAAGCAGGAATAAATGTTGTAAAACAAATTCATAGCAAATCGAACAGTTGTGTCTAATTGCCATTTCTCCTCTTCCACTTAACGCCGCGACTATATCGATACATGAAAAATGCCAGACATATAGGAAAATTTAATTTTTCAGTTCATTTGTGTGTTTTTTTTACAAGGCTCTCTATCTATCTATCTCTATAAGAAATAGTTGTTGTTTTTTTCTCTCTATTGCTTATTCCAAAGATAATCATCAAAAACCCGTACACAATCATAAATAATTATTATTTTATGTGCAAAGAACAATGGCAAAATTGTATGAAACCGCGTGCACAATGACGACAATGTATACATTCCATGAACGAATCCGTCTGTTGCATCGCATTGAATAATCGGTAAGTGTGTGTGTGTATGTTTGAGTGAGAGAAAGCGAGAGAGTATGAGTTCGATTCGATGTGTCCGATTTGGCCAATGCCAATAAATGCACACATATTGCACACACCATTACTCATTCAAATGTGTTTCTTTTGAGGTCTCGTTGTAGTGGTTATTGTTAGTGGTGGTGCTTTTTTGTTGTTTAAATTCTGATATTCAGGATATGGCTCGCGCTGATATTTCTCTCTTTTTTTTTTGCTTAAGCTTCACGTCGTTTGACGCTTAACGTTTAATGGTGACCATTCTTTTAATGCGGACACTTGTATGCACTTTATTTATTATGTATCAGGCGTTCTACTTTTCATTTATTTCGCTTGTGTTGTTTTTTTTGTAATTTTTTTCTAAAACAGAACGCGACCCATAAAATTTCTGTGCTTTTCTGAGCGCGAGCGCACAATTGTACCTTTTTCCATAATTATACAAATGTACATTGCCAGTCTCTCGGATATTGTGTCGGCATGTATATTGTATATGCAATTTTCAACAATTATCGATTTGAATAAATTTTGCTAGCATTTATATTTTCGGTCGTTTATATTTTAAACCATTAAAAATCACATATTCGACACACACACATGCACAAAACAATGTGTGCTCGTTTGATTTCCTAAATGCGTTCTTTTTTTTCTCGTCTTCCAAATGAAAAGCAAATATTTGATTCGCATTTTTGTCGATTATTTGGGATAAAGTGCATGTGAAACTTGATGATTGTTGAGAGAAAAAAAATGGCAATCGCTACACATAAGAGAGAAATGGTGAAAAATTGAGACCGAGAAATAAATAAAACGATGCATCATGCAAGCCACTTTCAATTTTTCGTGTTCTCTTCTTCTTTTTCTTTGTTCAGTTAGATTCCTTTTGTGTACTTGGGATGCGATCGAGGCACATCGAGAGGGATGCGTGCGTATTTTAGTATGTGCGTACCAACATGTGACAGCAACAACAGAGCAGGTAGCTAAATCCGAGTACAAAAGCAAAAATGAAATGTGCGTCCAAAATGCAATACAATCGGTTGCGATGCATGGGCAAAAAAAATTCGTAAATTGGAAGCGTACACACAGAATATGCATTGTATTGTACTGTATCAATTTAAATTCTATTGTATGGAGAAATGTACGGTCGATGAGTAAGTGCAATTTTATGCGAGAGTCTCATTAGAAAAATGGAAAGTTAGAATCGAATCAGATCGAAACGATCGTGTGCATTCTTATAACAATTGTAATGACGCAATTGAATCCCGCATGATTACGCATAGTTTTTGTTTGCATGCGTCATCAGTGTGAGAACATCAGATCTCCTTAAATGGTCGCATATATTAGCAGAATAAATTTTTCGCAAGATTCATGCTCCAATTTTGTCTTGCATTGCGTATGCTTTTTGATAATATTTTTTTGAGAAAAGATAAAATACGCAAAAAAAAATATTCTTGGGTTATTTCATATTTTTGATTTGAATCATGCCACATCATACTTTATCTTATTACTTATGGAATGCAAAAAAGTTAAAAAAAGATTTCAACCAAACGAAAAGCAAAATCTACACAATTGAAAAAAAATAAATAGAATTTCAGTGCGTTTACGCAACCACAAAAATATGAAGAAAAAAAAACACACACGCAGATATTCGAATCATGATTTCAAACCGCACAAAACTAATGACATAGTTTTAAAATGTGTTTTATGTGTCTCGAGTGTATGTATATGGTGTAATCGTTCTTTGTTGTTTTTATTTTGCACGGAATTCAGATTCCAACGAATAAAACAGATTATCAATCGTTAACGTTGTATTTCGGTTGATTTTCCGACTGATTCTAGTTACTTTGATAACGTGGTTTACACAAAACAGATTTCAGATAATCTGTCATTTCGTAAATGCGTTTTTGGAACGCAAAAACATTTTGTTGTTTTCATTTTATTGTTTTGTCTTCGATTGATAGTCCGTCGTTTGAAACGCCATTTTTCCGAATCAAATGTGAATGAAAATTCGAGTATAAATACAAGCCAAAAACAATTTCTACAATTACAAACTATTTTTACGTCGATGATACCGAAATAGAGATTAGAAAAATTGCCGCCAAACAAATTTCAATTTTTATTATTGTAATGTGCGACACACAAATAATATTTTAACTTCCGGAATCGGTAAATAAAATAATTTAAATCACATTGAAAATGTTGAAAAGTTTTGCTTACCTTTAATGCTAATGGTAATAGTTTGTCCTCTCAGAATCTCACAGTGGCCGATCTTCACTTCCGCATGGGATGAATGAACAATTTTTGATCGTTTTTTATAAAATTGCAACTGGCTAAGAGAAGTGGGCGCGCGCGCTCATCAATGCACCAATGTCGTGATGATGGATGTATCGTCGTCGACGATCGATGGTGTGTACGTGCGTTAGCTGAATAATTGAAAAATCCAAGTGGGTTTGTCGCCACACTTCAAACGTTTTAAATGCACAGCGTAGTTGTGTGTATCCAATGTACGAATGAATTGGAGTTTATTTTGTTGCCGTTTTTATTTCGTGTCTTTAATTTTTCTCGAAATTCGTTGCGTCGGTAGCAATCGATTTATAGCCAAAAATATGTATAAATATTTTTGTATTGGAATAAACCAAAAAATAAAACAAAAACAAATATTATCGATGATCGTGTTTGGATGTATGTGTGCTCGTTAGTGATTGTTGGTTTTGTTAATGTGATATTTGTCTGCAGGCCAGTGTCAAAGTCTTACGATTACACACAATGTGCAAGCGAAAACAATGCAAATCAATATAATGCAATTGACGGAAACCTACTGCCTTTTTGATGCTTCTGCCAGAGAGATTATTTTTAGTAAACGATGACGGTGTGTCCGGTGGGTAAGTTTTCGATTGTTTAAGCGTTTTAAAATCTTGTTGTTTTTATTATTATCTTAGAGTTTTAGAAACTTGTTTAATTTTGAATTTTGCACAATAACCACTCACACAGCGAGGCCGAAACAAGTAAATTCCAAAAAACAAAAAAAAACCGTTCAAAGTTTAAAATCAGGATTTAATTTCAATTTCAATTTCACACACTTGATTGAGCCAAAGAGAGTTTAAAATTTATTTCTATTACTATTTTGCTAGTCCGCAAGGATAATCGATGTGAGGTGAGAAATAAAATAAAATAAATTTGAACGATAAATATTCAAAACAGATATAAGTGATATAATTTCAAGGTCTGTTGCAAGTGCGTGATTATTTATAATAGATAGTGCTGTGTGGGGTTTTAAAATATTAAATTTAAGTCAGCTTGATGATGAATAAACAATGTTTATGCAAATAAATGCTTTATCAATTTCTTTTAAATCAAATTGTCTTTTATCAAATTATTTTAATTGTAATTGTTTTTTAAGTCACTTTTTTTTTGTTTTTGCCAAAAAATAATGTCTTTTTTTTATTTAAAAAAATGAAGATGCACAATTTTTTTTTAAATAATTCGTTGAAATGATGTTGTTGATAATTTCGATGAAAAAGAAAATCGCAGTTTTTCTAACGATGTTCGCACGATTGAATTTTTTCAAAAAATTTGTTGTCCGTTGTCAATTTCTCGCACAAAAAAAAATCTTCTTTCTGTGTTTATTGTAAATTATCAGAGAAAAACATATTGCACTTTTTTCAAATAAAAAAAAATTTCCTTTTCCTCTGTATCTGTCGTTTTCTCTGTATGTTATGATGCGTTTCACGACGATGCTCGTTTTTCCATCCTTACACAACAAAACTTCGGTTCGAACTGTTTTCATGTTAGCCAAAAGTTCGTCGATCAACATCGAAAAATCGCTCGTCGCTCACACTCTACCGCTTCCCATACCGTGTTGGTTCGGTCGGTTTATGTTTTTCCCAATTTTTATTAGTGTTTACTGCCTGTGTTTTTGCTATTGTAGTTTTTTCCTTCTTCATCGTCTACGCTCCCTCTTGCATTCTGTCTCTCTTTCTCCTTTCCGCCATTCGATTTGTGTTTATATATATTTTTTTCTTCTTGTATTCACTCTCTTCATCGTCGTCGTCTATTTGGTGTTTTCGAATCGCATGGTGTATGCTATCAATGTATTGTGCATTTTGTAGTAGCGGCAACTGTTACCTATCGTCATACATGTACGCATTGGTGGTGGATAGAATGCACATTGGTATTGTGCATGGGCTAGAACGCGTACACGACAATACTCAAGCAATATATACACAAACGCATCACCACCATCCATTTCTAAATAATATTCAAACGTGTTTTACGCATCGAATGGAAAGAACAGCGTATTACGAAGCCTTTGAATGCCCTGCAAAATATGTGCGTACGGGAAATATGTATATGGATTGTTTGTAAAACATATAAAATTAAATGAGTAAGAGCGAATCAACATGCACAAATACACACCAGCAGCATAGTTTTTATTAAAGATGCGTATTTTAGCTGAATGCGGCTATAAGCGTGTAAAATAGAGAGCCCGCTTCGGTTGGGAAAAATAGAATATTATTCATTCATTATAGGCGGCAATGAAGACGACGTACTTTGCCACGAAATTTACATACAAAACTGAATTGTCGGCAATCTTGACGCGACATCACTGTATTTGTTTGTAAAACCACACACTGTTACATTTTATTCAGTCTCTCCGTTTGTTTTTGTTAAGAAATAAGCTATCATCCACTTTTTGGTTGTTTATCTGTTGAACATATTCATATGCGAGAGAGTCACATGCGAGCTACTTGGCAAGCGTTCTCTTGCTTTTTTTGGTGTATGTGCAATGTGCTGCGCGTATATTGCCGTTCGCATGTTCACCTATTCCATGTGGATTCAGATTTTGAACACAACAAAGAGCAAGAGAGAGAGAGAGAGAGAGAGAGAGAGAAAGAGAGAACTCGCAACGGAAATGCCTTTTTCAATCGAAGTTTACGCACATTCGCATCCGCATTTGTTGCTCGCCTATCGCTATTCTAATGCTTCAAAAATGCTCTTCAAATCGCGCTTATTAATTCACGTGCATACATGATCGTGCTCAATTTGGTGTGGCTGCATTTGATGAACGGAGAGTGAGACCGACATACTATCAACTCGACTGTTTTCTTGTGCTGCCAACAATTTTGCTGTGTGCATTTTAAACGCATAAATAAGTGTTTCACGCACAACTATTTACATATGCTAGCGCCCAAATTCTATGATCATTTCTCGCTCCTTCTATCCACTGCATTCCGATGTTTGTTTCAACTATTACGTTTTTTTGCGGCCATATTGAACGTTCTGTTGTATTATATCACTAGATAGGCTTTTCCGTTTTGTGTTTAGCCCAAAAACTATTTACACAATACTATTATGAAAAAAAAATGACGGAAAAAAACTGGCATTTTGTTACGCACGCTGCGAATATTCACAATGAATATCAAATCCAACACATTTCAGTTAAATGCAAAAACCAACTCAAATATTTGTTTATTTTCAGTAGCGAAAAAATCTCTGAAAATATGTTCCTGGTTTCACTTGATTATGAATTATGATTTGCCAATACGTGCCGATAGGCAAAATAATCGGGTGCCTTGGGCACACATTTTATCAAGTGACCATTGATAAAAGTACTAGATAGGGATATTGATACAGACAGTAAAAGATTTTTTCCGATGTGCTTTTGATACTTTCTTCTGAAAGGATTATAGGCTCAACTTTGAAACTCATGTTCATTCTCCATCTGGCCCTGTTTTCTATCTCGATTTGTTTGTGTGCATGCCATTTCCAATCGCCCATTTACAAAACCGAAATTGACTCTATCTCAATGTTGCTGTCATAAATTTCAATTCAGTTGTTTAGAAGTGATTACAATACTCATGTTCAATGTGATTTAGTGTAGTGGCCCATTGTAGGCCCATTGTATTTGTATTTTTTTGGTGCAGTCAACTCTTCGAAACCAATTTTAATTTATTGAGCGGTCAGTGCTCTTTCATAACAAACAAAAACAGACGAATATCGCATTGTAGCAGAAAATGTGTACGATCTTTTTTCATCTCATGTTATTTTGATTTCAACTGTTTACAAGCATCTATTAATACATTCCGGATATAAATAATACGATATTTGTCAGAAGATAATCTTATCGATCGTGCGATTATGCAATTGCAAATTCTGATACAATGTTCATGCAATTTTGACCTATTCATATCAACTTTTGTTTGTCATTCAACTTAAAAGTGTCAAACAAATCCTTTTCACATCGATTGACGTCTCTATAGTCGTATGCCCATTCACATCATGTCAATATCACTATTTTTTTTTAATAATGCGGGTGAACGATAGACAAAAAAACCCTTCGTTTGCGTCACTTTGCAATTTTCTTGTTGTTCCATCTACTAATTTTATTTATTGCAGCATTTAAAGCGCAGCCTGCACGTACGCACACACACACACACGCATACACAAATCGGCAAATCCGTTTGTTGATGCTAACCAGAAGCACCTTTTTTCTCTCTGTGTGTCTTATTTTCTTCGTGTGCCATTCGTCTTTATTGCAAAAATGACAAAGTGTGGGTGCCGAATAATAAAAGAATGAAAGAGGAAAAAATTCGGTATTATCCTAATAAAGTTATGCATAACAACATAATAATATCCACTTTGTATAGGGGATGGAGCTTAAAAAGTACTAAAAAATGACGGAATTATTACGGAACATAATACACACAACGATAAAAAAACACGTAAGAAACGTGGCAAAAATAAAAGAAGTGGAGGCATAAAGATAGGAAAAAATATAAATAAAACAATGGACACATAGATATTAAATATTGAATGAATCAACACATAAAAACAAACCCTTTTATTTGGCAAATGCCGCGCGGCCTAATAACATGACATAATAATGAAGTCGTTATAGCATTTGTTGAGTGACAACAACAAAAGAAATCTCTCAATTTCAAATCCACGATTTTGAGCTGAAAAAATGCATCGTTTGATGTCAACATCCGCCACTTTTTCCAAATCGTCCGCCATCACGAATCTCGCCTATACAAACAAAGTGGCAAACAATATAATATTTGAACTTTTTGACGAAATTTAACTGATTACATTCGAATAAATTTGGCAGTGGGTTTGTAATTAGAAAACTGTTTTACAAACATTTCATTAAAATGGTTCTATGCAAACTATATTTTGCGATTGAGATTGAAACCGAGATTTTAAAACCAACCGAAAATTAAACTGAATAGTGACTCCTGTTTAATCGTTCTAATATAATATAAATGATATCGATGTGGTTGATTTGGTGAATATTTTTGTGGATTTTTCTCGAAAACCGCCAACTTACTGATTAAACATAAACTACAATCTTTAGTTAATTACTTTTTCAAAAAAAAGTTTAGTATTCCCTTGTGGAAAATTACTGACTGACTAGTCAGTTAACTAATTTCTTACGTTTTTGGCTAAAGCCAACTGATATTGAAGTTGTTTTAAGTTGATTTGGCTGATTTTTCAGTCAATCCTAGTAGAGAAAAATTTAACTTAATTCAACTTCAATCGCAGTTGACTATAGACAAAAACGTCCCAAATTAGTCATCAGTTTAAAATGGGATACATAGACTGGGTAGACGACTTCAGTTAACAAAATTCATTTTCAGATGATTTCAGCTAACCAGTCAGTCAGTCACTTTTTTTCATCCGGGATTGATCTCCGAAACTCTATTTCTAGTTTGATAGCTCCAGTAATAATAACAAGGTCCCAATGGTATTGATTTGATCGACTATGCAACCTTATGCGTTAAAATAAAAACAACCGTAATCTTAATAAAGTCTGACCTCTTTGGTGACTCACCACAAATATGAGATTTATTTCGCAATATATTGAAAAAATAGTTTGTAATTTCAAATAAATATACCAATTTTCCATATACCAAAAGTCGTAATTTCTATTTTAAGTCCTCAATAAATTAGATTAAATTAGATGAATTATTTATGTTCTGAATTATCGGCCAGAGACTTCAGTTATAAAATTAGTTTTTATAATGAAAATATCAATTGAAAGAGTCAAGGCCAGTAAAATGAACCCAAACATATTTTTTGTACAAATATCACAGACAAAATGGAAAATTCCCTATTGAATAAAAGAGTTTAAACTTCCATGAAAAGTCTTTCAATTTGTCTAATATTTCAAAAAACAATTGTATCTTGTTCATATTTTCATATAACGTGTTTTTCGAACATTTGATACAAAATATTACCATATCGTCTAATTTCCCAGAATCAAATATAATAGATACCATACTAAGTTTTATTTGTTTTTAAAGTTACCAAAGACGAAATTCATTTCCAAATGAACAACGTAAAGCGATTCATTCGTTCCATGCAAAAAAATGTTTGTATACTTTATAGTTTTAGGTACTTTAT